ACTTCGCACAACTAAACATCATTGTTTCTATGCGTTTTTAAAAATGAATTTTTCTAACTTTAAACACAGGAGTGTTTAATAATTGAATACCAATTGTTCGCCTTCTCTACCTTTTTAAAAAAAACTGTTCAACATCAATTATTGAAGGCCAAAAACTGATGAAATCATTGAAAGTTCATTGGTTAAAACAACACCTTAATTGTCACATAATTAATAATCACATAAAAAGCTACTGAACAAAGTCGTAAACCATTCAACTCAGAATAAAAGTTCAATACAACTTTAAAGAACGGATAAGATTTCACAATGTTTAATGTTGTGTTCGTCTGCATCGTATTCCTTCCGTCTGCTCTTATTTCAAACACATTATTTTCTCAAGGTTAGTGAATTTCTGTCTCACGGGTATTTTTAAAATTCCTTCCGAACGTTTGTCTTCTTCTTAACTAGCGTGTCGCATTCACGGTTTTGGTGCGCAAAAGGCAATATTTTTTTTAAAACTGGTACCACTTTGATAGCCCTATAACGGCATTTCTCATTTACTTCGTCTCTGAGGATATAAACAGCTAAAGTGGATTCATAATTCAAATCAGAGCAGAGACTATGACACAGCAAATACGGAGACAAAGATACAATTTCATTTCCAAATAACAAGATACACAATGGAATTCCCTTTCATCAAACTACCAACTTTTCTGTAGGCATCACTTTTATTCAGAAAATGCTTTGGATGACTTCGAGAAAAGGAAAAAATTAAAAACTGAACGCTACATGACTAACACTTTCAGAAAATACTGATCCTTAATGAATAAATCGTTATCTGTTAATTATTTATCTCAACATTCCTCACAAAAGAAGAAAAGCGAACATACTGCCGCTACAAAAGAAGGGAGCATTGTTAGAAAAATAGAAGTTGTCGGGGGGGTGACGAAAGAAAAGTAACCAATCACAGTCGCGTGTGATGCCTTACAACTTGATGTGTATCCAGTTGACCTTATTGCCTGAGGAAGACCAGTGTTAACGTTGCAATTAATACAATAAATGTTTACAACATGGAACAAACAATCCTAAACATCACTCGGTTTTTTTATGATTTTGTGACTATGATTTATGACAGCATATTGTTTCATAGACTGCTATCGTCTCTTTCAGTCAATTTGCCATGCTTATGATATTATCTGGTATTACTGATTCTTTATACATGTTATCCGTAACTTGGTTGATTGTTTTTTTCTTTAACATCAGTGAGTTCTTTGAGAGAAGCCACAATGCACAAAATCGCACATCATCTGTTACATTACAACCGTTGTAAAATCAATTCTAGATAAATCGTTTTCCTAAGACAAATCATTCTCTAATTGACTGAGTGCGTGCAGTAACGA